AATGAAGAAGAATGGTGAAGAAATGAGAAGGTTGGGTTTTCTTATATAATGAGAAGGAGAGAAGAAGAAGGTGACTCTGCGATCGGCGTAGTGGGGAAGGAGGCGCCGTCTAAACAGTTCCCTGATTGGGACCTATTTTGGTTCCAGTCGGGGTACACTTTTTGGTCCAACTTTCTCCAAATTGAAATCCGTTTGCACCGTTGCGATCAGACGGTCGAGCTCTATCCAACGATATACTTTTCATAATTATTTGTAATACTTTTTCCGACATCATATTTTTGGGTGTTTGACTTTAACAGAGTCAAAATTGGTTTAATTGACCTTTCTCACAAAAGGTTCTCTCATTTAATTCATATCAATTATTCTCATGATTTATTTCAATAAATCATTATAAAGTTCACATCATAATTAATTAATTTATTTATTCTTGATTTGGGTCTGTACTCAGGTTCCCAATCAAGACCACACAAATAGTCCACATATTGGATTTATCTCGATTAGACTTATCCAGATTTTGATATTGGATATTAAAAAATATTTCATATCGGCCCAAAGCCCAATAATAATCAAAACAAATTTGTTTAATCCAATAATTATTTAATAATAATTCTAGGGTATGTTTCGGGGCGTTACATTTCTCCCTCCCTTAAAGGAATTTCGTCCTCGAAATTCTTCTAATGGTCAACGTTTAACATTTCGTAGTGATCTCACCTTTATCATGACCGTGTCATGTTCATTTGTGTTAGAATAATAGACCAACGCTAGAGGGGGGGTGAATAGCGTTTGATCGGAGAAATCGCAGGAATTAAAAAATTAAAATGGAAGTAAAGGGAAGAGAAAAAGGCACACCGAATTTTACCCTGGTTCACCACAACTTGTGGCTAATCCAGCCTCCCGAAAGACTCTCTCGAGCTACACTACTATCTCGTTAAGCTTGCAGGTGCATAACAAACCGTTACAACTTGAGAGTTCGAGTTACACGAACCTCAACGAATCCTTCAAAGGAAACAATCCTTCCTTTGAATCAACCGAGAGAGGTACTATCTCTCAACGTGTCTAAGAACACAAGTACACTCAAGAACGAAACTCTCTTATAGAGTAGATTATGAGTAAACTAAGTACGCTCAAGAACAACTCAACCTTCACACAAAAATGGCTCTAGAAAGCTATGAAAAAATGATGATATTTGAATGCAATGAAAGTATAGATGTTGTGAAGTGAATTGGTGAGAAAAAGCAGACCCAAACACCCCTTTTTATAGTGCCAAGATAGGCTCCAACGGACCAATACATTAAAGGGGTGATTGGCTTGATTTATGAGATTGAATAAATTTGGGATCTGCAGGATATTGGCTTCCCATCGATGTTTGGAACTTACCCATCGCTGGTAAGCCAATTTTCCTTTAGTTTTGAAGCCAACGGTTACCTACCCATCGATGGGTAAATGCTTCCCATCGCTGGGTGGGAGGTTGACTTTCAAATAAGGAAAGAATCAGCCTTAAATGACTCCCAACGGGGTTCCCGCGGTTTGGGACCACGTGTTGTAATGATGGTGAACGGTGCCTCTGTGAGATGACGGGCGTAGTTTCGCAGAGTTTCTTTCGTCCCCGTCGACTCCTGCGGCTCCTGGGGTATGTAGGCGCTAGCGTCTGAGGTTTTTAGCGCCCGTAGTTACCAGCGGTATTTGGCATCCTAGCCCGGGCAGAGGTGGCTGTCCGGTAAAGGCTTTTTCCATCTCACACTTTATCTGAGTGCCTTAACGACCGCGCTTGCGGTCAAAAGGCGCACGTACGCGTCCGCGGTAAAGGATGTCTGTCAGTGCTTGCGGATTGAGGATTTGAGCACCCGTGGCGCACACGGAAAGTGCGTATGCGTGGTACCGTCATCAAATCGGTGCCCTCGTCGGGAGGCTGGGTGGGGCCCGGCGAGGTTTCTTCCGCCTGCGTCAGTGCTTTCGCGCGAGGTTAGAGCACCCGCTATCTGTCGGCGGTAATGGGCTAAGGGTTGGCCACTGACCCATAGTGGTACCTCTTTCTCTTTTCGTTCTTCTATCCTTTTGGACTGCATTTCTAGGATCACTCTTCTTCTGGGCATTCTCATCATTTTGGATCTTTGGATTACATTGGATTTCACACATTTTGGACTTGGATATTTTACATGGCTGGACTACTTCTTGGATTAGGCCATTTCGGTTGGGCTGGTTTCGGAATTGGGCGACTTGGGTTTCGGCCGGACTTGGGCTACTACGGGCAAGAGACTAGACTTGGATTGCATTGGGCCGTGGCTGCTGAGCTTCGGTGGATGGGCTGCTCGGTGGTTTGGGCGACGCTGGAATTGATTACTTTGGGCTGTCTTTGGTAAGGGCTTCATCTGTTGGGCCTTCTACTTCTTGGATTTGGACTTTGACTTATGGGTTCTTCTTCACATGATACTTTGGGCTTTCTAGCTGGGCTTTGGACTTCTTCATAACTTAAATGGACTTGGGCTTCTTCATAGGATTGGGACGAGCTAGATTGGGCTGCTTTTGGACTCTCATGGTTTGGGCCTTACATTGGGCTTATATTCTGGGCTCATCCCTCGCTCACTTGGATTATTTTTGCACTTTTATTTTTACTTCTTCTTTTTAGTTGGTTTTTCTGGATTTTAGACTGGACTTAAGTCGATTGCATTTCTTGGCTCACAACATTTTTCTTGATCTGGATTATCTGACCTTAGGCCTTACCCTTGAGGGGGTTGGGGCTCCGGGAATGATTTTATTCCTAGATCTTTTAGTGGAATGTTGTAGACCGGCTTTGTAGTTGTACTTAAGTTTATGTTCCATATATCCGATAAGCTCCTCGCATTTTAGTTCTTTGGTTGTTGCTTACTGTTTATACAAGTGTGGAGCCTGTTCCCGCTTGTTCAGACGTTTGTATTCTTTGATTATTTAATAAAATGCAAATTTATTTAAAAAAAATGACTCCCAACGGTCATGCCTTCCCATCGATGGTTAAGCCTTCCCATCGCTGGGTTCCCATCGATGGGTAAAGCTTCCCATCGCTGGGTAAGGGCATTCTGCCTTGTGATAATATTGGACCAAGGCTTGAACAGCGATGGGTAGAGCTTCCCATCGCTGTTTGGCATGGTTCTGGAAGTTGGTTTGGCTAAGGGGCTACTTACCCATCGATGGGATGTTCTTCCCATCGCTGGGTGGGTGGTTAGCCAAAAACCTATGGTTTTTGCCTTAACCACGGCCTAGCCAACCGATGCAAAAACCGACCGAAAAATCCAAAGTTCTCCAAAATAAAAACCAAGTGTTTAAAACACTTATTTGATGTATTTGGCTAAGAAATCAAGTGAGACACTTTAAAAATCACGTCATTTGAGTAAAAACCACGGCTAGCCAAGTTTACGCCGTTTTGCGTGGTTTTTGTCAAACGACTAAAAGCGAGAGATGGTTTTCAAAGTGTTTTTGTTGGAGAACCGTTTAAACATGCCAAAGAGTGAAAGCAAATCATAAAATGCTGAAAACCACTTGGTTGGTTCGGATGCCAAAAACCAAACCCGACAACCGAAAGCCGAACGCTGGTTTCTGAAAGCCGAACACTGGATGGCTTGGTTTTTGGTTTGGGCGAACACCAAGTGTTTTTAATGACTTAAACAATTTTAAAACCATTTTTATGATGTAAGAAATGCAATGAGAGTTTTTAGCCTAAAGAGCCAAGGTGTAAAGATTGGGTCGGTCTTGATCACAATAAAGACCGACTCAATACTATGATTAAGGTCTTCATTCTTGGTCTTCGTTTAGCTCTTGCTCTTATCTTCGTTCTTCGCCTTGTATATTCAATGTTCGACTTGATCACGGCGGTTTGGCATTATCAAAACCTGTTACAAAAACGAACACGGCTTTAGTACGAAAATGTGGCAAGCCCGTGTTTCAACAATTTCCCCCTTTTTGATAATGGCAAACGAGACGAGGTTATGCATAGGAGGATTATTTTGAAAAAGATGTTCCCCCTTAATAGATGCCATTTTACAAAAAAAATTCCCCCTTAATTTATGCATAACCTTAATATCTTCCCCCTTTTGACATTAACAAAAAGAATTAAAAGTAAACTTTAGAATTGTAAAAGTAAACTTTTATTCATGAAAAAGGGAAATGCGGAATACAACGGAATAAAAAATACAATCATAGTAAGAAGAGAAAAAAAAAATCTAAGCATCGGCGTCCTCGTCGTCCTCGACGTCCATGGGATCGCCGTCGACCGCATCTTCAAAGTCGGCCTCGTCAGGGGAGGAGGATGGAGCATAAGAGTTATCCTCCTCGTCCTCGCCTTCATAGTTTTGGCCGAAGAAGGTGTTGTCAAAGGGCGGCGGGACGTAGTTGACGCCGCGGAAGAACGCCGTCATGTCGTGGTGTTGGCGTTGCAGCGTCCAGTCCATCCGCTCGATTGACTGCCCCATGCCGTCTACTGTGAGGGTTAGCCGATTCAGAGTATCGGCTATGGATTGCAAAGAGGCCTTGGCGGGAGCGGGGGCTGGTGCACGACTCGGGCCTGCGTCGTCCCGGTCCCCGGACTTCTTCCGGAAGGTGCTGTCTTGAATTATCCAAATCTTTGTCATCTTCGTATCCGGGCCGGCGATGGAGATGTCGGCGGAGATGATGAGGTCCATGACGAGGAAGGCGTATGGCAAGCTCCGCTCAGTGGCGATGGAGGCGCAATCCGCCATGTGGATCATCACGAATTTCGCCCAATTGATGGAGGCGCCGTGGATGATGGCATGAATCGCCTTCAAGTCCTCGTTGAAGAGCGAGGTATGGCTGCTGTCCCGGGGGCGGAGAATCCGGGTGATGATGTAGAGGAGGAGGCGCTTGTCCGGTGGGGCCGAGTGAATCGNGGGTGAGGATGTAGAGAAGAAGACGCTTCTCCGGCGGGGCTGAGTGGATTGTTGGTGCGCCGCTGTGACGGATGAGGTTGGTGATCCCAAGCTCTCGGATGACCACCGCCTCGTTGTTGAGGATCCAATCATCGCCGCCATATGTTGTGATGTCGTCACCGCGGGTGGGCAGCCCTGCGACCCGAGCGAAGGTAGCCAGATCAATCTCTATGTCGTAGAGATTGATGCTACTGCGAATGGTGTCCCCGTCCCGGCGGAGATTGGAGTAGAAGGCTCGCACAAAGGCGGGATTGAAGCTCGAGCGGCTCCTGGAGACGAACGACCTCAGACCCGATGCTTGAAGCTGATTGTCGAGGTCGTGGTACCCCTTTTGTTGAGGGTACAACTCGGTCAGCACCCTAGGCGGAGAAATGGGACGCTTGGCAAAGTGCGTGAGGAACCGGTTGAGTTCCTCCTCCGACCCGAACTCAAGAAACGATCCGTCCGGGTAGGGGAACGGTTGAGGCGCAGAGCTCGAGGGTTCGGCGGTGCTTTTCTTCTTGGAAGCCTTAGACTTTGATCTTCCTTCGGCCATGGTTGAGGCGTTTTTGAAGAAGGATTGAAGAAATATTGAGATTTGGATCAAGGAATGAAATTATGATGTTAATGGTGTATTAGAATGAGCAAATATGAGGGATATATATTGGGACTGGGAGATTAGGCCGTTTGGATTCAAAAATATAGCTGTTGGGCAATTAATGTGGTGCCCAACGGCTCTGAATTTTTGAAATGCAGGTGCCTTCCCAGCGATGGTAGGATCTACCCATCGATGGGAAGGTCCCCACTGGAAAGCGAGGAAGGACCCAAGGCTGCCTTCCCAGCGATGTTTGCATTTTCCCATCGATGGGAACGTGGCTTCTAGAAAAAGAACATGGCCTTCCCAGCGATGTTAATACCATCCCATCGCTGGTTTGGTAGTTTTGAAAATCCGTTAAAGAATTTTAAAAAAATAGTGTCAAACACCCAGCGATGGGAGGAACTTCCCATCGCTGGGTTGGGAGGTTCTGAAACAAAAGCAAGCACTCACCCAGCGATGGGATAAACTACCCATCGATGGGTAAAGGTGTTCTGGAAATCTGTTAAATTTTTTTTTTTTAAATAGAGTCAAACACCTAGCGATGGGAGAAGGTTCCCATCGATGGGAAGAGGGGTCCTGGAAAGATGAGGACTTCCCTCCCAGCGATGGTATAACGCACCCATCGCTGGTTCCCCCTGATTTCCAGAAGTCTTCACCTCGAACCGTCCCTGCAAAAAAAGGTTAGAAAACCCTCCGACGCTCAAGTTAGTAAACGTTCAAGCACAGAAAAAGGAGTGATAAAATGCACAAATTAGATCATCGTGGAGTCAAGGATTCCGAGTTCACTACGAATGCGGAAGAACGACTCTTTCTCTAAAGGTTTTGTGAAAATGTCGGCTAATTGGTTGTGTGTTTCAACAAACTCAATTTCGACATCACCTTTGAGGACATGATCTCTAATGAAATGGTGCCTAATGTCAATGTGTTTCGTCCTTGAATGAAGAACGGGGTTCTTTGTCAAGCTTATGGCGCTAGTATTATCACAACGGAGTGGAACGTGACTGATACTAAGGCCATAATCCACGAGTTGTTGCTTCATCCAAAGGATTTGAGCACAACAACTACCGGCGGCAACGTATTCCGCTTCGGTTGTGGATAACGCAACACTGACTTGTTTCTTACTAAACCATGAAACTAAAGAGCTACCAAGTAAGTGGCAAGTCCCACTCGTACTTTTACGGTCCAATTTGCAACCGGCAAAGTCCGAGTTGGAGTAACCAACCAGATGACACGAAGAGCCTTTAGGATACCACAGTCCAACGTTAACCGTGCCTACAAGGTATTTCATGATCCGTTTCACCGCCGTTAAGTGCGATTCCTTCGGGCATGATTGATACCTTGCGCAAAGGCATACGCTAAACATGATATCCGGCCTACTAGCAGTAAGATAAAGAAGGGATCCGATCATACCTCGATACTTTTTGACTTCTACTTCCTTACCTTTCTCGTCTTTGTCTAGATGGTCG